GCATCATCCCCTTGGCGTCTATGCCAAGGGTTCTAGCTGCCACTGCTGCAGCAATATTATACCTACTCCCCTATCCCCCAATTTCCCACTGATCAAAAAAAAAAAAAAAAAAAAACCCAGTTCTTCAAATCACATAAAAACTTCAGACAAACCCAACCCAAGAAGAAAGATGCAAACTTTCAGACTCTAGAGTATGGTTTAATTTGATCTTATTCATACCAGCTGCCACCCGTCACGGAAAACAGATTGATACTGCAGCAGAACCAACAGCAAAACTATGAACGCTGCCACAGCCCACGGGGAGCTCCCTTCTGAGGGGCGGTTGTGGGTCCGATGGCGCCGCTCCCACGGTGACATGCCAAACAGGGCATCGGGGTTTTCTATGGAGGACAACCACCGCACGAGGACTATCAATATTAATGGTGTGACCAAAAGTACCCAACTCATCTGCTCCTCGGTAGCTTCCACAACTTCTTCAACGTTGGCGTTCCATGAAATTCCAAGAAAGAGGAATATAACGACTAAGATCAAAAGAACAGGGTATGGCAGAGGGTGCAAGGTGAAAGAATCAAAGATGGAGTCTCCTCTTCTACCATAGGCCATTGCGGCGTTTATTTTGGGAATGGGAATTGAAGAAGGGTTTGATACAGAACGTCCTGTCTATTTATAGCAATAAATGGGGGTCCGATTTGGTACATCATGGCCTAGAGTATGATGGCTTTTTTTTTTTTTTGTTCTCTTTTGATTTCATTTATTTTGAGTTATTCTTTTTCATTATTAATTTTTTTGCATACAAAAATCATATTGAAACTAGTTAATTTAAAGTTGAAATACATTAAATTTTTTTTTATTTATAAAACTTGAATTCAACCAGTATTGTAATTTGGTTGGATAAAAGACCCAAAGAAGCCCAAACCAATTGAATTACTACACCAAATTGTCACTTTTCAGTCAGATTGGGCAAGTTGGTTTGGTCTAAAAACTATTTTGATTGATCTTTGATTAGCTGGTGATATAAAAAAAATGTCTCACAGCTTGTTGTACAATCTATAAAATAGGACCCATAAACACAGAGAGAGGGAGAGAGAGTCGCATTATAAGTAAGTTTTTTTTAAAAAATAATACATGTTATATCATTTAAATTATATAATAATTTTTTAAAAAAATTATAAAATTATTATAGTTGTATTTATTTGATTTTATTTATTTTAGTTTAATTTTTAATTTTTTAAATATTAATTGTAAATAAAAAATAAATGAAATTATTTAATAATTACTATTTATAAGAAAAACTACTTATAAGAAAAAATATTTTCTATTATCATTTATATGTTTTTGTTAAATTTCCAATTAAAATTAATGTTTAAAAAATCAAATTAAAACTATTAAAGATTTTATATAAAAAAAAACTACTAAACTTGAATTTTAATTTTTAACTTTTTAAATATTGATTTTGAATAAAAATTTAACATAATATAAAAGACAATTGATTTTTTTTTTTCAAATGAAATTACTCAATAATAACTACTTATGATGGAAAAGAAAAAGAAAACAATAAGGAAAAAAAAATTTTCAATTATCAGTTGTATGTTTTGTTAAATTTTTAAATGAAACTAATATTCAAAAACTAAAATTAAAACTACCAAAGCTTGAATGAAAGGAAAATAAGTTTTAAGATGCTCAAGTTATCTATAAGACCTAAGAGAAATTAGGAAAATTGAAGGAAATATTCAAAGTTTGACAAATAGGTACAACCCAACTTCTACATATCTTTTGCATATTCCTCTGATCAAGCTTAAATAGACAAGTATATAAAGATGCATTTCCCTTTTTGAACAATCACAAAATTTGAAGGAAGATTGAACCCAGCATCACAAGCTGTGAGAAAATGCACCCTTACCAATTGGCCTGAGGGCCAGATGCAAGTATACATCCATGGAACTATGTCTGATGGCTGGAATTATTCATATCAACATTTTGCAACTTGAAGTTCTAAATTCTTTTAACTTCTTTTGGCTAAAAACCTTGCGAATTTAAATCCCCATTCTTAAAATTATGAGATTAGATTCATCAAACAAAACCCAATTAAATACTGAACTCCAGTATAAATAACTATAGACCATGCATTCATCAAGAACCACAGAAAATGAGTTGTCCAGACATTGTAACACACAAATTGAACAGAGTACCTCAAAATATTAAACAAACCTGCAGAATCCAAAGAACTCCAAATTCACTAACAACCCTTCCAAGGTGAGCATTTCTGGCATCCGCAATGCTGCCTGCAGGGGCCCTTTGATGACAACCAACGGACAAGGAAAAGCAAGAAGAGTGCTGTGATCAGAAGTACAAAAGTATAAAACTGTTGCCCAGCTTCCACGGTTATCTCAAACTTGATGAGAGATGAAAAACTGAGCAAGATCAATGCCACAACTAACAGCAGCAGAACGTAGCATGGTTGACGATTACGTGGACTTTTGCATCTTCCACAATAGCAGTAGCCCTTCTGGCAGTAACCCATTGAAGAAGGCCTGGCTTTTCCCTCTTCAGCCAAAGCTTTTCTGAGGTAGTTGGGTTGGGACTACTTGAGCTAAAAAGGATGATTCTAAATCAGTAGAGGGAAAAGTGGGGGAGTGGGGTTTGGTTTGCTTGGTGGTGATTCAACATCATATAAAGAGGGTATTTCTTTACTGAAACAAAATGATGAAAAATATGGAATATTTTCATAAATTAGACGCACAGAAGGGGGCTTAACTTCCACTTGGAAATGTGAGCTGGTTGGGCTGTCAAAAGTTATATTTTAGCACAAAAGACCAAGGCAGGACAGCATTGCCCCAATCCACTCATGAGCCATTTCACATGGACAAAATTCAAAAGATGCTCGATATGACACCCACTCTGGTGGTCCTTTGAAGAAGTGTTATTAGGGCAACCAACCCTAAGGGTTGGACAATCTTTGATCTTTTTTCAGTTTGAAACGGAGTTGGTCAATCTTGACGATCATTTAAGTCTCTGGGAGTTGTGGCAGTAGGTAGCTAATATCATCTGGGGGTGTCATTACCTGAATGACCCACCTATATTCCTATTATTTAACTTAATATACGTGCAAATATAACCATAATCCAGGGCTTAATCATCTAAATTTAGAAGATGGGACAAAAACACAGCTATTAAAGCCGGCTGTTTTAAGGGGCAGATATTTGCCAAAAGGGAACGGCACATGTTAGAGTTGGTGGGGATCCGTGGTTGCAGAAATGATACACATGGTAGCAAGATTTATCAAAAAATCACCTCAACATAAATCAAACACCAATAATTCAAAACCAGTAATATTTGACGGGGAATTCAAATATCTCACCAAAAACACCAAAAAAAAAAAAAAACACAGATTCCTAGGATATTAAGCCTTCTAAAATGATATTCATAACAGCAAAGGGAAAACTGATACATGGTGAATATATATAACCAAATGCTACAATTGTTATAATGGAAAAAATCAAACCCAAAAGACAGTTCTTCTGTAGAAGCCTCGTCTTTTTGACTGTAGGCTAAGAAAATGATTGAATTGACTTCTTCATATATAACATACAGCAATTTATGCGGTCATCCAAATCAGATGTTAGGAGCTGAATGCAAAAAATATTGCCCTTGATCATGATGGAGACCCAGATGTACAGACTAAATCCAATGAATTCATAAGTCAATTTGCAACAAGAAAACTGCTACCACCATAAAAATGTGTATAATCAAGGGAAACTAATTCTAGTGTTGACTTGACAACCCAAGATCGGTACAACTTGCCAATACAACCTCCCATAAGAAGTAACTTGGATCAGACTTTTCCTTCATATTGGAAATTCCGTTTGTAGTCATGTTGCAAACCTGCCAGTGTGTTTCTGCAAGGACCCTCTACAATTTGTGATGGTGACAGCACAAGAAAAGTTAGAATGAAGAAAGACCTTCACATTAAGAGTTAAATAAATATCTCGCCCCCAGGTTGCTTACCTCCAAATACAGTATGAAGATACTGAAGATCATTTGTTGAGCAAGCATCAATTAATGCATATACACCTGGTCTCAGAGCTTCATCAATTTCCCTGCAGATCATTCCCATGGGGAAATTGTTTTATTATTAATGCCCAACATCTGGCATTTAACATAAGCAGAAAATTACATAGATCATGATATGCACTAAAAATGGTGAGCAAAATGAAGGTACTAGACACCACCTTTGGATGCCAGCTTTAAGTGGACCACATCCTGAATAAACCCAAATATAAGTGGACAGGAACTTAAAACTGTGCTGTGCCAAGGCATCTTTCTGCTGCCTTATCTACAAAACAGTGATGAACAAATCAGGTGATGAGAGACAATTCAATCACTCTTAAGCAAGTCGAGCAAATGTCAATCTGAACTAACGCCAAAAGTTCAATCAAAATTACATATAGAAATTTCATTAAAAAAATTGAATATGGAAAACCACATACATAGTGATCCAAAAGAAAAATAACCATCTCTTAGACCAGGAAGTAGCATGATTTAAGTGCTTACTTCAACCAGCAGATCCAGACAATGAACATGACCAAGACCTACAGATCCCAGTTTAATGTCCCTAAAACCTTTTACAGACATAAAAGATTTCTTCCAAAAATGGTTGGACGCCATGGACCCAAAAACTTTACCTTTGGCATATTTTCTCCAAGACTTAATCAATTATAAATTAATGGAGATGAACTTTCAACAACATTAGCATACCTCTTCATAAATTCTTCTAAGGAAACCAGCACACTTCACCCCTTCTTCTAATTCCCATGAAAAGCAACCTCTTCTGACTGCTAAATGAGCATTCTTTGTCTCCAAACAATGAAGAAGAACAGAAACAGACTCTTCAAGCACAGCGATGCACCGTTCACATTCACTAGAAATTAGTAAAAGAATCAGTACGAATAAATTAATAATACATAATGCATTCTTCAATGTTGAAAATAAAAAATATAAAGAAAATACATAAAAGTAAAGGAACAGAAAACATGCACAAGAACAGTATTTTCACACTACTAGACACAAATGAAAGCATTAATGTATGCTATCACACTGTACACCTTTACATGTTCCCATGAGAATTTTAGAACAAACAACTTCTATGATCTTCCAATTTCTTATTTTACAAGGTTTAACTTAGCCTGATTCACTATCCATAAAATACATTTAAATGTAAAGAAATGGTTATGGTAGTGTTTGTCATTCATAGCAGCAGCTGCTTTAAACATGATAGTTGATAGATTTCTATAGAAATTAATGAAAGAGTTTCTCGCTTAACCATAATGATCAGCAAGGATTGAATCATCAGAATATTTTTTATTTGATTTGCATCACAATCATTTCAGTAAAATATGGTGAGCAGCTGTATTTTCTCAAAGCAGAAAAATAAATGAACACACAAGAACACATTGCTAATGCCATTTATTATACCAACATGGGATTTACACCTCTCAATGAATGTATTATGGGAAGTATTAAGTAGTGATGCATTTTATTAAATACTAGAAAATATAGGAGGAGGATAACAATGAGACTGGTCAGGCAATATGAAGTAAAGTGGACTTGAGACATCATATGCATACAGAAGGGGTGATTCCAAGGAGTTTATAACATCTTTTTTACCGTTTCATTACTTCTTAGTTCTTTCCAGCAAGCTTTAATTTTTTACCAGGTTTTGATGATTATTCTTGGCTGTTAAACTTATGGAACATAAAAAATAGATCTTTTACATACTGAAAAGACAAACCAAAAGTACCTCTTGTGATGCTTCACAATAGTATACAGCAAGCGGCAGCATGCAGCAAAGAGGTTTACTGAAAATTGTTGATCTAGAACACAGAATTCCATGCTTGTGCTAGGGGCATCATTTTGTTTATCCAAAAGCAATAAAGAATTATATGATTCCGGTGCTTCAGAATGTCTTAGCTGACAGAAAGCTTGAAAAAGTGCTCCAGGGATATGCAAACACTGCCCTATGTGCCAAGAATCCATTTGGAACAGAGCATGTTATCCAGAAACTCTTGTCAGTACCTGAACACACATAAGAATGATAGATCCTGGATCTGGGTTATTGTCACCATTATTACCAACCAAATTTTCAAAGAAAATTAATGGACCCTGCAAGTGCAGAATTATGTTGAACAGCGCAGCAATCAAGCTCGGAATGTGCCTTTTAACCACACTTAAACGATTGCGACCTAAAAGGAAAATGAAAGATCAAATCAACAAGTCATGTTTGGCTATGAGAACAAGCTTTTGAACCGAAATAAATTGTAAATAGAAAATTTTCTTCAGGATTTTAAATTGCACATGTATTAAAATATTTGGATGGAAGAAGTACAAATGGAATTCAACTTTGAAATGCTGCAAGTGATCCAAATGCAATTTAAAATATATTGAAATTGCAAACTGGCCTGCATATTCCATCAGGCAAGAGAAGAACAATGTCGAAAAAAACTTCAACATATCATTATGTCAAATACTATCAAAAAACAAAATTGCTTGGTAGCAGAGGCAGTAAAGATTATGATGAGATTATTTCACATTCATGTTCTCCAAAATGGCATCAATAAGGTGCTGGTATAACATTACCTGAAACATATTCAAGAACCAGATCTAAACAGTCAATGCCAGCGACAAGAGCTGATGAAACCCTGCCACCATTTGGATTTCCATTGTTTATTTCATATATTGTTGTCCAGCCTCCTTGTACTCCCACTAGTGCTCTCTCTATAGCCTCAACTGCTGATGACAGAAGCAACTCTGGTGGTTTCTTTATGAACACTTTGAATGACATCCTCAACCTAGCTTTGAAATCATTTAAGCAATGTTGCTCATGAGAAAGAAATGATTCAGATAATCCCATACCACCATGGAGTATCCTAGTATTCGATTCTCTCTCACGAGACTCCAAAGTAGCCCTTTTCCCTTGTAAAGATATACATTTTCCTATAGCTCTCAAGTGTAATCCAATCAGTTTGGTATATTCATCACCATTCAATGTGGGATTGGTTGATGTAAAGTTATTTCCTAGTTCTTCCAGATACTTAAGAACACCATCTAGCCAAACAAAAGTAAATGGTTGTGGTATTTCAAAGGAATTTGCCAGCTCCAACAACAAGAGTTGTGAAATGCCAGTAGAGATTGGCACCAAACTTGACAATAAGAGAGTATTATTCATATATAAATTTAGACTTAAAATGGCAGATGAAGCAATCAATAAGTGCCTCAGTAAAATTGCCATTTCAGGGTGCTTACCCTTGAACAAGTCTTGTAAAAGATGCTTCCTAAGACCATGAAGCTCAATTAAATTAACCTCAGTACCAGAACAGTATGCATTTTCCATTGGTGAAGTACTCTTATGAACAGGAGCAGTGGCTGAGTTATCACCAATATCAGAAGATGCTGGGTCAATCCTTATAGATTCTAATTCCAGATGCTGTTTACCAGATGACATATTACAAGGTGAAAACTCCCCTGAACCCAATAACCTGTTACCATCCAACTCTTCAAAACTTTTAGCATTGCAGTAGCTAAAAGGCTGCTGATTATTGTTAACAAACATGAGCTGGAGGAAATCACAAATTGTGTCAGCAAATATATTAACACAGAGGTTGAGCTTCAAGAAAGGTTTGCATTTCCGACTTAGGAATTTTGCCTTGTGCTCACTACCTTTTTCACCTATCAGCTCTATGGCAGATGCTAGGCCCCACAAAAACCCACTAATGCAAGAGACTACAACAGATGATTTATTAATATTTACAACATTATCCTCCACTAGAACTTTTTCATTAGGAAGGGCATCCTTTAGAGAGATGAGTAAGCTTTCTGCATGTTCCTTCAAACTCTCAGCAACAACAAGCAGACTTCTCAAGGCTTCACTTTCTCCTGAGTAATCCAAACATGAATCCATTTCATCTATACCATGCTTTTCAACAATGCCAGAACTGGATTGCCTAGAAGGCCACTCAGCATTTGTAAAATAGAGAGCTGCATGACCAAGTTGATATTTACTTATTGTTAGGAAAACATATGATGTGTGATCCATTAATGAAAAGAGCATGCGTTTAGATTCAGATGCACAATCTTCTGTCCATGACTCTGGAAGTTCACCCACCACACATACTGACTTGAAGAGCCAAGAGAAAAACAATGAACTTTCAGCAATTACAGGAAGAAGTGAAGATTGACTATTTTCTGTCTTCTTGCAAGATGCCATAATTATATTTTTCAAAGTCCGCCGACAAGCCACAAACAACTGCAGAAGCTTGTGGTAATTCAAAAGTGCACCCTGACATTGTAATAAACTTGCAACTACAAGCCTGAAACATAGGTAAGACTCCTATCAGCAGAGATTCTGCTAAGTTTATCATAATGAGAGTAAAAGTACTAGCAAGTACTGTGACAGCCATTGGAAAGCAATGTAAAACAACATCATGTAACAGAGACTAACCAATTTTTCAATTTGTGCATAAATCTCACAAGAATAACTTATAAAACACAATTTCTGCTTAATTTTAGATTTATTCTTTATCTTGATTTTTTTTCTCTAGAGTTATTTTCCTATAAATTGACACTGATGACATGCACATCTAGTTCAGATCAATCAACCTACTTTCTGAAAGCAAAGAAGTTTTATTAACAAAAAAACACAATTTATACTGTGTTCACCAGAGCACAGAAATATAGTGCAAAAGGGTGTCATATGGAGCTTACCGTTCAAGGTTGAGGATGTAAGTTGCAAGAAGTGAGAATGATTTTGAACTCAAATATTCTTTTGGCATCCAACACAGAAAGTTAAGCAAGCTATGACAATCTTTGACTGTGCATTCAGTTACAAGAAAGGATTTTTGTGGCTTTGAAATATCTGAATCAGATGAATTTGAAATTGATTCAACTGCAGAACCATACTTCACATCTCTTTTGCTTGAAACAGCTGCTGACAATGTATTAAGTGTACTTAAAACTTCTTGCCAGTTAGGTGCAGCATTAAAACAAAAATCCTCAATGGAAGAATGACGAAATAATCGTAAGGCATATTGCGATAATATACCACAATATCTTGATGCAAAAGTCCTGCGAACAAACTAGTACAAGAGAGGTATGAAATAAATGTGATGCAATAACACTTGTAAAGAAATTACATATATAAAGATGATGCATATGCATATAGGTGTATTTGACTGTTACGTATGTTCTTACTTTATGGTCATATAGACTGGAATCTTTTAGAAGTTCCATTGAAATTTGTGGGACGCTAACTTTCTTGAGCCGACCAGCTTTATCAATATCTTCCTGTCCTTGCATATAACTTCTTGACAAACAGGGAAGGGAGGTCTGAAGCAAAAGTGTGAGAAACTTCTTCATCTTCTTAGTAGCAGCATGAGCACACCAAATATCAACATTTTGGCAAATAACCCACCAAATTGCACTGGGCAATGAGTTCTCATCCAAAGTACAAACACCCAAATCCCATCCATTATTTCCATGCACTTTGAAACATTTATTCTCACAAGATGCATCATTAGAAGCAGATGTCAATGGTTGATTATTAGCTACTAATGACAGGAATCCCAGCATGAAATCAGTAAGACCCACTGCCTCTTTCTTCAAAATGGAGATGTGCCTTTTCAGTTTCCTGCTTTTTTTACTCACAAGAGACAAGTCAGCATCATCATTCATTTTAGCCTGGATGAAATTATCATTATGTTGCAACAAGAACTGAAGAGACATTATGTGCCTATTCAGATCAACAAGTCTCTGGAGGGCTATAGCATTCAGCACATAAATCAGTGGACAGCAATCACCAATGTTGTCCTTAAAATAAATGTTTGATATGCAGTGTAAAAGTTCAAGAACAGAAGGTGATGGATTGAGAATCCAAGAAAAGTAGCCCTTATCAGTCAAATCTTTCTCCATCCAATCCCTGCCTGTATATACTGTAAATGCATCTCCTATTTCTGTTGCCATTTTCCTTGATTCGTTAGGTGGTGCAAGGCCAATGATTTGCCTGTACAAGCTTCTGCAGGACATATACAAACGAGAGAAGAAGACAAATATCCAGTAAAAGGATATTAAATACTTCTTATTTCTGTTTTCAGCTATCATATTGTCAAGAGCCCTTCCACTGAGAGAAGATAGGAACTCATAGATACCATCAGGCTTTAGTCTAGCCAGACCACTGATAAATGGTTGAATCGTAGTCATCATCTTTTTCACATAAAGTCCAAGCATACTACTGTTACCTGATGTGACAATCAGTGAATCTAGCAATAATATATAAATCTCAGAAAACAGTGTTCCCAAGATTTCTGCTTGCATAAAAAAATGTACTTCACAATTTCCAATTTCCAACCTTCCAAATTCTTTTCCATCTGTCTCTGAACAACTATTTTTTGTCCATTCCATAGATTCTGATACATCTGCTGTTAACTGCTGAATACATTCACTTGCTTGCCCTTCTGGTATGGACTTGAAAGCTTGATGAATTGCAAGTTTAAATTCTTGTGAGCATAGCAGAATTCTAACAGATTTTGCACATGTGTGATTAGATAAGGTCATTACAGAGGACAAAGATCCAGCACAATTAACTTCACCATCACTGAGTTGTGAACATATTACAAGCCTTGCAGCTTTGCACAGTGAAAATATACAATTACTCACCTACATTAGTTAAGAACTATAAGACTAGGGAATCAACTCTTTAACTACAAAACAAACATTGAACCCTCAAAAATATTTAGGGAAAAACAAAAAAGGGAAAAAAGAAAGATGGCTAAGCATGATGAACTAAGCAAAGTATTAGTAGAACACCAACTTGCACCTTCCAGAAGCAATGGTTGATTCCAGGAAATCCTAAAAGAATTCTAGCAAAACAGCTTACCACACCAAGATTTAGTATGAATATTGACTGAATCCCAAATGTGCTATACTAACCTGACGAAGTGCACTGTAGAGATTAATTAGCTGGCACCCAAGATCTAAAATTGGGGAAGTCAATAAGCATTGATCTTGTGGATCCATGAAAGAGAGACCGGAGCTCAAGTACGAAAGCATGATAAGCCATAAGCCAATTAAATCATTACCAGCAACCTCATATTCAATATCCAAAAAGTACCCTATAGAAACAAATAGCTCCTTAGCTAATGAAGGAAACATCTTCTGCATCCCAGTATCTATTTGAGATTTTGACAAGCAGAGCAACTTGGAGGCAAATGAAACTATTGTGTCATACACCTTCTTTAAAAAATTAAAGCAAGCTCCTTCTGTGATATCCTCTGTTCTTATGTAAACTCTTTCCCGCATAAAACTGGCAAGCAGGTTATTAATGGGCTTCAGTGTACAATTAAAGTCCAACAACGAGAACCTAGCTGGCAAGTTAGATTGAAGATATTCATCAATCTTAAGTAAAAGAGGCTCCAAAATCTGAACAAAAAAATCAAGTAGTGATTTTCTTGTCTCTGCATTTAAATTACTTGAGCTGGCCACATGACCTGACGTATCATCTCCTAAGTGCCTTGATCTTCCAGTTTTTCCCTTGACCTTGTTACCTTCAAATAGGACTGGAGTTCCTTTCTGCGTTTTCACCCGATCAACAAACAAGGAAAATAGTTCCCCAGTGCTATCCAATGCTACTACTCTCTTTTCAGCTACAATGCTTCCCAGTTTGTCAAATAAATGCCGATGATAACTTTTAATAACCACTTTCAAGTTTTTCACTTTTCCATCCTCTGATCCAGCATATTTTTCTATACTGCGTAATCCCAAAAATCCATCAATGTGAGCTGGATGAAACAATCCATGAGACAAAACTTCTTCAACCAGCTTTAGCAAGTTTCTTGTCCAGCCAGGATTATTCTCTTCAATCTTACCGTGCAAGACACTTAAGAGATGCAGCAGTGGCTCTAGAAGCTTATCAACAAAATCATGAAATCCATTCTTCCGAGTTGGGTGGACCTTCAAAAATTTAGCAAATGGTTCAAGAACCAAGCAGGAGAATTGCAAAACAAAAGCACCTATCTTGCCACCCTCAAGGTTCTCAATATAAACTTTGTGAACCATCTCAATCACTGCAACAGTGGTTGAAACCCACAAGTCTAAATTCTCATTTGACAAGCCACTTTGAGATGAGAATAACAAGGAAACACAGTCAAGCACTACACTATACAACGCAAACTCTTCACCACCAAACATTGATTCTTTTGAAGACGAAATTGTATTGCTGAGAAGAGACGCTACATTTCCTGCAATATAACTGATTGCCCGTAAGAGGTTCCGCGAGAAATTCAAAGAAACATGCCATCTGGATGACTCCTCCAAGCAGAACTTGAAAATCTGCCAGCATCTCAAATCCAAACATGCCTCAACAATTCCATCAACTTTAACTTTCTTTTCTGGAGCAATTAACAATGACTGAATCCAATCATTAAGAAAAACAACTAATCTCGATGTCTTCACTGTCTCATAATCTTCATCCACGCCACCACTCCCTTCTTGCTTTCTAAACCCAACATATTCAAAAGCTAACTCCACCTTCCTGCACAAATACCACCTCGTTAGCCATAACTAAACTTGAGAAACTTAAAAGAAAATTCTTACTTTACTACTTACTATCAGAATAAAGGTATAGTGTCAAGGAAAGATTGTTTAAAAAAATGTAAAAAAGATACGAACTTTCGGAGCTCAATTTCTTTATTTTGCAATGATAAGATCAACTGCAGATTCCTCCATGGACGCTCTTCTTCCAGCTTCAGGTTTGGTTCCATCGGTTCTGAGCTTCCACCTTCTTCAACTCCTTTTAATCCCATCTCCGACGGGTCAATCCGTGGGGTTTTTCTGGGCTTCTCTTCGCCTCTGGCGCTGTTAAGCTTCCTCTTTTTCTTCTTCGCTGATTTTACAGATAAAACAGCCATTGTTGAATCCATGCTTTTGTTGCGCTTCACAAAGATGGTTTAATTTTGCCTCTCTGTTCTAATTTGGTGTTTAGGGTTCAAACAGGGTTTTGGTGACGCCGAAGAAGACCACTCTTTTAGTTCCCAAACAAACGATTCGTTTTGTCACATTCTATTTTTGGTGCTTTTTTTTACTTATTATTAAATTAATTAATTAATGCTAATATTCATGTCTAATAGTCCATCAAGCTACTAATTTGAATAAATTTATAAATAAGCCCCTCAAATTTTTAATTTTCTGCAGTATAGCATCAACGACTTGCAATACTCCCGCATTTTACCTTTATTTGTTTTTCATTTGGTTAAATCCATAATTTGGTTTCTAAATTATTGTATGAACTTTTGATTTGGTCTCTAAACAAAAAAATCTTTAATTTGATTTCTAAACTATTATACGGACCCCCGATTTGGTTTTACTGTTTATCAATTTGCCCCAAATTAACCTTTTCATATAAAAAAAAAGCTAACATGTCTAGTATTTAACGGTGAAAAACAGTAACTTAACTTCAAAAAACAATAACTTAATGGTAATGTATCACATTAATAACAAGACATGTTAACTGTTTTTGTATAGAATGACCAACTTGGGGCAAATTGGTAAACAGTGGGGCCAAATTATAGATCCGTACAATAGTTTAGGGACCAAATTAGAGATTTTTTTAGTTTAGGAACAAAATCAAGGATTCATACAATAGTTCAAGGACCAAATTAGAGATTTAACCTTTTCATTTTTAAGAATTTATTCTCTCTTTTTCTCCAAATGTTGTGAAATATTGAAAAAAAAAAAAAAATATTGTTCTAGGTTTTAACCTCATTCCAAACCCATTTTTCACCATTTTAGGTTAAATAACTTTGACAATCCCTTTATTGTATTTTTACACGGATCATATTGTATATATTGTGTTTAATATTAACTTAATTATATTAAAAAAAGTGTACACCGAGTCAAAATGAAAAAACTCAACATGTTATTTATTATGAACTTAGTTCTGCCATGTGTTGCCATATATGCGACCTAAGTGTAATTATTATATAATAAGTTTAAGTATCATTTGGATTCTTAAGCTTTATAAGCTGATATTAAAATGGTCTTTAATTTTTTTTATACTATTTTAGTTCTTTAATTCTTCAATATATTATCATAACTCGTTTATAAATATACTCTCATGATTTTTCATTATTAAGTTTACATTTAATTTAATAATAAACTATACAATAATATTGTATCTTTTAAATTTTCATTTTATTTATTTTAAAACTTAAAATATAATACAATATACTTTTATTAAAATTTTCTTATAAAACAACTTCAATAGAATATCTAAAACTAAAAAGAGAATTTTCATTGATTAAGTAGTTAATTATCTTCATGGTTTGTTGAATAAATTTATAAAAAATACAATAATGTTGTATCTTTTAAATTTTCATTTTATTTATTTTAAAACTTAAAATATAATGCAATATACTTTTATTAAAATTTTCTTATAAAACAACTTCAATAGAATATCTAAAACTAGAAAATGAGTTTTTTGTTTTTTTTTTTTTTTGTGAGAACTGAAAAGGGAATTGTCATTGATCAACTAGTTAATTACCTTCATAATTTGTTGAGTAAATTTATAAAAAATATATATAGAGATTCTATTTTACAATTAAAACTAAGTTAAATTATAAAATAAAAATTGTTATTACCTAATACAATTTAAAATATGTTACATTATTAAAAAATAAACAATAAAAAAAATTAAAAAAAAAAAAGGAAAAATCATTGCGCTATGAAAAAACCGCGATAAAAACACACCCGAACCGCCAGCGCCAGCCTGTTTTTATTGCGCACTGGACCATACACGTGGCAAAACCCCACGTCTTTCTCTGCACCATCGTTGGAATTCGTTTTCAACGGTCCAACTTCCGATGCACCCATCGCAACATATGGAAACGTTCCCACCCAATCCCAACCCCTCTCCATCCGCAGCCGTCCACGTGGAACTACAGAGTTGCCAGTACACCTACACTCACCACCCCAACCCCAACTGCTGCATGCCACGGAATTTAGGTGCTGGATACCCACCTGCAGGTCACCCTGTACCAATCCCGCCACTCCGTTTACCGCTTTAGCTCGCGCTGACTCGGACCGGACCCTGACCCTGACCCTGACCCACTTTGATACCATCATTTGGATATTCGGTTGTGTATAAATTACCATTGCATTTGGCCTCTCTCCCACTAGTCAGTGCTAGAGTGAGGTTGTTTCGTTTCTTCCGTTTCTTGGATCGTGAAGTTGGGTGGTGGAAGTGACCCTTGTGAGGTTCGTTCTTTCTTTCGTCATGCAAAATGGAAATTTCATCTTTGGATTTGAGTGGCATTGATTCTGTGATGAAACTTGATGAAGAGGCAATGCGTAGGTGTTCTTCCTGTTTGTTTTTTTGTTCTTGTTTTTATATGCATGCTTCATTGTTTGAGTGAATTTTTAATAAATTTTTCTTGTCGTTTTTTTGTACTTGGACGAATCTTGAGGGTATTTGAAGAGGTGGGTTTTGTGCAAATTAGTTTCTTGGTATCTCGAATGCTTCATTTTCTGCTTGATGAAATTTCATGGTGTTTGTATATGCTTTTCGTTTGGTTGATGGGAAAATGAGATGTAATCTCTACAAGAAGGAAAAACTTCTTGAATATTGTTTACTTTCTGTGCCAGTCGCTTAGCAAAAAGATTGAGAAATTCATCTTCAATCATTTACGGATCTTGATGGTATTAGAAGGAAGTGGGTTTTGAGCACATTAGTTCTTGGTATCTTTAATGCTTTCTCGTGATGAAATTTCATGATATCTTTACATGCTTTTTGTCGGCTTGATGAGAACATGGGATAATCTTGAGAAGAAAACGTCTTGAACATCGTTTACTTTTGTGGCAGTTTCCTAGCAAATGGATTGAGAAACCCATCTAATATAGATGCAAAGGCTTTTTTTTTTTTTTTCGTGGCAGACATAGATAGAAAGCGGTTGAATCAGGCTAGTTTCTTAGAAGGTTGAACATCTGGTTGGTTGTTAAATTTTGTGCTAACTTGGGGATTCAGCAATTTTTTTTTTTTTAATTACCAATGTGTATTTACTGTGCAGTGTTGGTTTCTCCATTCCATTTGGAATTTTCTTTTCTAGTTTTTTATTTGCTCATTGTGTACATGGGAAACTCGCGATCTGTTTTCAACTGCAGGTTTTAGGAAACTTATCATAGGTTACTGATTTCCAAACTATAGCATATTTGGGAAATATCTGCACTGAATATGAATGCGAATCAGAATGGAAATTCCAGAACTACTGACCTCCTAAAAGCTCTGGCAGAACTTGAATAGTTTGATTTCTCAAAGTTATCTGACAGACCAAGGCCTCTGAATATGGACAGGCAGAGTTCTTGTGACAGCAGTTTTCTTAGTGAATTATCTGGTGGGTCGCTCCCACCTATTTCTCTCAGAAATGTTGATAACTCTTCCCACAGAGTTGAGCACCAGGAGCATTTATCTTCACCTGGTAGACAATCAGGTCTTAATACTCCAAGGCCACAAACAGTATCTGAGCCAAATCTATTGGTTGCTGAAGCTAGGGAAGCATTGAACCGGTCCTTGGTGTATTTCCGTGGTAAACCAGTTGGGACAATTGCAGCATTAGAAAATGCTGAGGAAAAACTGAATTATGATCAGGTAAAGATCCAATTCCTTATTCTCATTCTTACAGAAACAGTTATTCAGTTCAATATAATTTGTGTCCTTAGGTTTAGAACTTTGTGCTTGCAATGGCAAGGGAAATATATTCAGTTCTTTAACTAATCATACTATCATTTATTTTTTTATATTCAGAAGTTCTAATTCTGTTTATGGGGAAGGAGTGCATCATATGAGCATGAAATTTATCCTGTATGCATGTTCTTGCATTTAGTTTGACCAACTAATATTCATGAATTCTTATTTGATTCTATTTATTGGGCCATGGCATTTTTTTCCTAGTGGTGACTTAACAATAGATTTTAGGATCATGTATGTCCATAATTATGTGATGAACAAATTGAAATTGTTTGGAAAAATTAAGATTCTTTTTCTTAAGAATATCAGCACTTAATAGTTTTCCTTTTAAGGGTATGGGGAGCATTCTGGTCTTCATTATTGGCTACATGATAATGTGTTTGGTGGATTCATTTCCTTTTTGTTTTCTCTCTTTTATCTTTTTCTTTTTTTTCATGATTATGTGTTTGGCGAATATAAGCACTCGATTCATGTCTGCTTTGTTATCAACGATTTGCAAGGAAATTTATCCAGTTCACTGATTGTTTTCCATTTAACCTTTTAACTTTTGATGGTCATTCTTGTAAGACTGGCTATGCAGTTACAGTTGAGCTGTATAATGTGACTGCATCCATTACCTTTGTAGGTGTTTGTAAGAGACTTTGTTCCCAGTGCATTGGCTTTCTTGATGGATGGGCGACCTGAGATAGTAAAAAACTTTATTTTGAAGATCCTTCGCCTTCAGTCGTGGGAGAAAAAGATTGATAGATTTCAGTTAGGGGAAGGAGTAATGCCAGCTAGTTTCAAGGTGCGCCATGACCCGGTTAGGAAACATGAGACTTTAGTGGCAGATTTTGGTGAGACTGCAATAGGAAGAGTTGCTCCTGTTGATTCTGGATTTTGGTGGATAATTTTGCTACGGGCATATACAAAGTGTACTGGAGACACTTCATTGGCTGAACTGCCTGAATGCCAGAAGGGTATGCGCCTGATTCTGAGTCTATGTCTCTCAGAGGGGTTTGAGACATTCCCTACTCTTCTCTGTGCTGATGGGTGCTGCATGATTGATCGTAGAATGGTGAGTTTCTCATGGTATATTTCCCATTGTTTTACCCCTGCAGCATTCTGTACTTCATTAGCTGAAACCTTGGTCCATTATCTATAAAATGCATTTTTGGTGTTAGAATTACAAAATACATCAAGTAAATTTGCAATTAACACATTTCATAACACTTCATCTTACTTGGTAAATGACAGGTGTGTGTGATATAAATGTGCATGACTTGTATTTGCATCCTAAATTTGAGTATAGACAGAAATACAAACCAAAAACTAAAATGATCTGGATGTGCATGACTTTGTCAGTTAGAAT